ATTCCCTTTTTAAATTTTTAATTTAAATTTCAAGACAGGGTCTTGTTAAACTGCCCAGGGTAGGCTCAAATGTGCAATCCTACTGTTTCAGTCTTCCATAGCGCAGGGATTACAGGCACCACACCTGGCTAGACGTTTGTTTATGAATGAATTCACTCACTCGTCTGGGTCATGTGTATTTTTAGAAGCAATACTTTGTCATTTCAAAATAAGATATATTATTAAAATGCTACATATAGTAAACAAAAGTACCATCAGAGAATTACAGTTTTGCAAAAGAATCTGTGCCTTTTTCAGAAAGAAAAATTATAAGCACTAAGATACATATATCTATATATAATGTATATATAGTATATATAATATACACAATGTATATATGTGTGTATATATGTATAATATATAATGTATATATTACCGTTTGGGTCTAGATGTCCCCTCAAAGCCTCATGTGGTCACAGGCTTGATCTAGAGTATGTGAAGCTGGAACTGATTCATGATGCAATGCTAGGCTCAAGGGCACTAGGATTAAGGGTATGAGTGCTACCCACCCTAAATCATCTGAATAAGATAAAAGGGGCAGAGAGATGCTGTTAACTCTCTTGTTGCCTTTGCTGCCTTGTGTGTGCCATGTTGTTTCTTCTCTGCCATGCCTGTTTGCCATCCCTGCCTTGGAGCCTGCTCGTTATGGACTGAAACCTCTATGAACTGTAAGCCAAATAAACCCCTTCCCCTCTAACTTTGGGTGTCGGGTATTTTGTCTCAGCAATGAGAGAAAAGTAACTAACACAGTATATATACAAATATATATCAAGAAAAGCAATGTGGAAGACAGCAAACTATTGTAGTGATTTCTGATTTCTGCTGATATTTCCCCTTGGGATGTGTCAATAAATAAAACTCAAAAAATTCTGTTATTCCAGAGCAAAAGGCAGGAATAGCTGATATGATAAGGATATGTGAAGTAGCTGTTAGAATAGCTGTAGACAAATACATGAGGAGTATGTGGTTAATTAATAAATATCAGGCACTTAGAAAAAAATAATACTTTACTTGTACACAAAGATATGATGGATATGTGAAGCATTGTTGGATAGAAAACAGCATGGTACTAAAGGAAAAAAAAGCAATGATTGCTGAATAATTGGGGAAACTAAAGGAGATTTAAACAGAAGCATTTTCCTTAGTTACAATCACCTAGAGGTCTCTCAAATTCCTTAGTAAGAAAAGGTTGACACTAACAGAAGAACTCTAGAATATCTGCAGTGATTTATTAGTGTATTTAAATATCTTCCTTCCTTTCTTTCTGCCTTTATTTTTATTTTTTTCTTACAGCAAATGAATTTATTGTTACCATAGGCATAATAACATACTATATCTCTCTGCCAATATCATCTGAAAACCTTCCATGTTAATTAAATAAATACACAATGATCTTTCATCATAGTCCTTTAAAGACACATGTTAATTCATGCTGTTAATCTTAGGATCACAGTGTATTGAATCCAAATATAAACAGTTGGGGTGACTTTCAAAGTAATGTTGGATTCCTCACTTTATTTATAATCGCACTATAACTATTAGGCTCATTTCATAGGCTCTATCATGCATTAATTATTGAGTGGCAGGAATTAATTAAAACTTTTCCTCCTACAATGTCCATTCCCAGCAATGAACATTGCAAAACCAGCAAGGAAAGCATTGTTACTGTGCAATACATGAGGGTCTGGAACATTTCCAAAAGCTTAGTTAAAAAAATGGAATGATGTTTGACATTTCCTGAAACTGCTGCATTAATACTATATGATTAATAAAAGCATGTCACTTGCATGGACTGAACCAGCAATCAACATGCACCCAGAATGCACATGAGTGAAAATGCAGTGAAAGGAAGTAGTCTTAATGCCTATAGGTCACTTCCAGTCAAAGGTTCAAAGGACTGAATGATCAAGGTGCTCATTTTCTCAGTAGGACTATCTCCTGCTAGGAGGATGATGACAGTGGCATTGACAAGTATCATCAAGAGACTGCAGTACCATTTTGTTTTCTTTGGATTCTGGTTGCACGTTCACACATAAAGAGAATTGTCCAGTGCTGTCTCTTTTCTTTGCAGCTGGAAAGCATGCTGACAATGCTAAGCCAAACTGGCTGGACTGAGAGTGTTGGGGAGCAATCGTCTGTCCAAATGAATGGATAAATAGATACGACAATTGCTATAAACATGAGGACAAATGGAAATATTTTCACCAGTAAATATGACTTGAAAAGAGCCAAAAGGATATCGACTGCTGAATTTAAATAGAAGTTGAATCCCCACCCACCCCCATATAAGGTACCTGGTGTACCTTCTGTGTCTACAATCCACTTGCAATTAAGTTTGAATGCTCTTTCCATTTAAAGTAACCCCAGGAAGTGGGTCATTTTGCAAAGCCAACAGTTCTTTCTGTAGTCATTTCTGCATTGACTCTAATGGAACCATTCCTCCAAGGTCAGCAAGGCCAGAGACCCAGGAGCAGAGCTGCTCTCTCTTCCTTTTTATCTTCCTCTCTCTTTCATTTTTATTTATAAAAAGATGGTTTTTAGTTCACAGAAACTAAACCCACTCTGAAGAATGAATACTTTAAATACTTAAGAAAAACAGAAATTTATTTAGAAGGCTGAAGTGTAGCTCAATGCACACATGAAGCTCAATCCTCAGCACACACACAAAAGTTTAAATCTTTAAAACAAATCCCCAAGTATTTTTTATTATGATTTTTTATTTTTGGTACTGGGAATCAAACTCAGGACCATACGCTTGAGAGGCAGGCATGGTGCCACTAAGCTAAATCACTAGCCCTATTATGATTTTTCTTGAGGAGATACAGTTTGAGATAGGTTGTCTTGCTATACAGTCGAGGTGGCCTAGAACTTGCTATATAGCTGGAAATGGCCTGTAATTCATGATGCCCTTGACTCAGCCTCTCATGAGCTGGATTAAAGGCATGTACCACACGTGGTCAAAATCCCCAAGTATTTATTAAAAGAGAGGAAAAAGGAAGACTGATAATCACACCTAAACTACAGGGGCCCAAATACTTCAGTCAAGTTTCCAGTATCAAGGATGAGTAGACTGGTTAAGTATTAACTTTGTAAAATGAAAGTTGGACAAGACTTGTGTAGTAGTCAGATTTCCTGTTGTTAACATCCACAGCTTAAAGAAGCAAAGCTTTAATTTAGGTCATGATTTCAGAGGATTCAGTCCATGGTTGGCTGGTTCCAAAGCAGAAAGAACATAGTGGATGGGCATGGCAAAGAAAAGATGCTTAGTCTTGGTGGCCAAGAAGCAGGGCAGGAAAACAGTGCCAGAGAGGAAAGGTTGAGGGACCAGATACAGTGCCCAAGGTCACTGCCTCCACTACCGACTCAGACAAACCCGGAAATGTGCTTTACTTATCCCCTAGGAAGCTCCCAAACAAGCCCACAATCCAGTTTAATCATCACAGTTTGCTTCTATTAGAATACACAGTTTCCTTTTATAAAAATCAACTCGTCTTTCTGATGATTTATTTGTCCAACTATACCACATCGGTAGCTATACTGGAAATACATCTCAAAAGCCAGTTCTCAAATAATGACATTTCCAGATAGCAAATCTAATTCTGTCAGGTTTTACTATCAACATCCATCTTTCTCTGTTGTGTTTCTAGACTTGAACTTTTTAGTCTTTGCCATTATGGCCAACAAAACACCAACATACCTCGCCAAATTTATACTACTGTCTTGCAAATTCTGCCAAACATGATTATAGGTAAATGAACTTTCAGCACTGGATAGTTATTATTTAGATTAGTTGACTCTTGACCAATCAGGTTACTATCGGGTTTCTATCCCATCTTTTAAAAATTTAATCATGGCAGCATTTCTTTCTTTGTGGTTTGGTTTTGTTCCAGTACTGAGGACTGCTCAGGGCTTTTGACTGAGCTACATCTTCAGCCCCTTTTTATTTTTTTGTTTTGAGATAGGATTTCACTAAATCACTAAGTTGCTCAGGCTGGGCTTGGACATGTGATCTTCCTGCCTCAGCCTCCCCAAGGGCTGGGATTATAGGCATGTTCCATCATCACTAGCTTACCTTTAACTTTTGTAACTCACATAAATTCAGCCTTCACATTAAAATATTTCAATCAATTCATCCTACATATTCTTTTTTATAACTTCTAATAATCCCAGGCATCAAATATCTCCAGTCATACCTCAATATAAAGAGATATTGCTTTTTGTTTTTCATAGAAACATTCAGAAATGATATACATTAACACTCTAATCATTCATGCCAAAATATGAGAAAGCCCTCCCACTCCTAGCCTTTGTTAACCAAAACACAGCAGGCTGGCTTTGGTGAGAAGAGGAAGACCATTCCTTTATATCTAATCCAGTCATAGAAGGGAAGTGGTTGAGTCTCTGACAATTTTCACTCCAGAAATTTAATCTAGGCAATTACAAATTTCATTTGAACAGCAACCATTTTGTTGATTTCCAGATGACTCATTTTGTAAACCCTTGGCCATTAGCATTCCAGCAGGAGTGGGCCATGTGCTGCCTTCCTGATGACATCAGTGGAAATCTTGAGTCGAGATCAAAGCTACTTTATGCTTCCCTGACCTTTCTTCACAATGGACAGAGGGGCCTCATTTCTCAGCTCAGAATTTTCTGATTTGCTTCACTGACCCCACAAGGGCTTCCACTTATAAATAGTCTACATGTAGACAGATGTTCACTGAAGACCCCAAATAGCTCTATTGGAAATCACATCTTGAGCTTTGGCTTCTAAATGTCATCTTAATCCACTCCCAGATTTCAGGAAACCCTGGTTGCCTGGTTCTCCACCAGGAAGTTAGTGAATATGGAGAACCCTAGCAGAGTAGAGAGTCAGCGTTCATTCTGCCCCCACAGAAGCCTGCTTTAGGCTTCAATTGCTCTAAGGATACACTGGGAGAATTCACCTGAGAGAGATCCCTTACCTTGATAGTCATGTCTGGGCCGGAGGTTTCTGCAGCACCCGAGGCTGCCTCCACTCCCTGTAGCAGCACACTCTGACACCCAACTCCTGGAAAAAAAGATGGGCGTTTGAGCCAAGGGGATTGTGTGCTGACATGGACAGGCATGCAGCTGCCATTTCACAGACCCTAAACTCGTGTGACTAATAAAGGAAACCCGGGATGACCCACGGTCCTTTACCTACCTGATGGTTACCAGGAAAGCTTCCTTTCGGTAGGGTCCATTAGCACCTCTTTTGTTTTTACCTAACCTCCAATTTTAGAGGCCATGGTCTAGGTGCTGAATCTTACAGAGAGATCTATTCCAGCCTAGAGTGGAGAAAGGGTTGGAATGAGCTCCTCCAGCATCCAGGCTCCTTACTGAGATCTCATTAAGGGCTTAAAGTGAATCCCAGAACACAGAAAGCCACACATATAATTCAATACCCAGTAGAAATACTCCATTTTCAATTCCACCCACCTACCTAAAATATCTGAATATTTAGTCATTTTTTCTTTTTTTTCTCTCCCTCTCCTTCCTTCTCCTTTCTTCTTCTCTCCCTCTTTCCTTCCCCCCCCTCCCCTCCCTCCCTCCCTTCCTTTCTTCCCTCCCTCTCTTTCTTTCTTTCTGGTACTAGGGGTTGAAACCAAGGCCTTCCATATACTACGCCAGTGATCTACAACCAAGCCCTTTTTAAAAAAATTTTTATTTTGAGACACTGTCTTGCTAAATTGTCCAACCTAGCCTCAAATTTATAATCCTCCTTTAGCCTCCCAAGCAGCTAGGATCATAGGTATCTACCACCATGCCTGGTGTACTGTCACTTTAAATCTGCACATGTTTCCTCTCCAAGTCTTCTTTCTTTCTTTTTTGTGGTACTGGGGATTGAATCTCTCAAGGCAAGCACAGCACCACTGAGATGAATCCCCGACCTTCCATTTTTGTATTTTTTGAGATAGTGTCTCACTAAGTCACTACATTGTCCAAGCTGGGCTTGAACTTGGAATTCTCCTCCCTCAGCCTCCCAGAGTGCTGAGATTAGAGGTGAGTCTGCCACCACACCCAGCTGAAGTTGGTATTTCTCCTTAATTGTCAGATTATCTCCAAGAGTGACATCTGGCAGGGTATAAGGTTTTGATCTTTCCAACCTCTAAGAAGAGATTGAGATTGGTGTTTTCAAATACTTACGAGCTCGGTATGGTGGAGCTACACTGATCCAGACGCAATTATGTGAATCAGAAGAGTTGAGATGGTCTATTGTAGTGAAAAGTTTGAGGTAATGACAAGTGTATTTTTTTAAACATTGATTTATTATAAAGCTGTCTCTTTAAAAGTTAACAAAGCAATTTTTTTTTTGAGTCAGGGTTTCGCTATGTAGCCCAGGCTGGGGTTGAATGTGGGCAATCCTCCTGCCTCAGCCTCTCAAGTGTTGGAATTACAAGCGTTTGCACCCATGCCTAGCAATAAAGCAATATTTCAAAATTTCTCAGGGTATTCTTAAACAGACATGTTTGTTATTTATTTATTTATTTATTTATTTTCAGTTCTGGCAATTGAACCCATGGCCTCACACATGCTAGACAAGTGCTCTACCACTGATCTACATCCTTATTCTATACAAATTTTGTAACTGGTGTAATAACTGCCTATTTGGAGACAAGTGCTCATAACCTAAAGCATTAAAAAGATTGGTTTCTTAAATAGGTTCAAATTGTCTGCAATATTTATTTGTTTACATTAATTGATTTCCTTAATAAATAATTTGCCCTATGGATAACTCAAGGACGATATTCATTTTAGATCTGGGTGAATAACCCAAATTCCCAAATTCCAACTGTCTCACATTATGTTTATTTAAGGTTGGCAAACTTTTCTGTTATTTCGGGCTTTGTGGTCTTGCAGAGTGAAAGTAGTCCCAGATGTACAACATATGAACTAATGGCCATTGCTGGCTTTGTCCACCAAAACAGGAAATGGGCCACATTTGTCCCATGAGAGGCCACAACTTTTACCAACCTCTGTGCCACATCAAGAAATTGGGAAGCTGGGGAGTAGCTCAGTTGTAGAGTACTTGCCTAGCATGTACAAGCCCCTGGGTTCAAACCCCAGCACTGAAAAAACAAAACAACTGGAAAAAAGAAACCAAAGAGCAGCTCAGTGATAGTGCATGGAATGTTCTGGTTTCAATCCCCAGCACCAAAACTAAAGAAAATAGAGTTGGCTAGGGATTTAGCTCAGTGGTTTCACCGCCTGCTGCTCAAACGCAAGGACTCGAGTTCGATCCCTGGTACCAAAAGAAAAAAAAGAAAATAGAGCTAAGTGAGATTTCTAAATTCCAGCATTTCTGGTAAGAATCAACTGGCTAACCCAGTGGTAAAACACTAACAAGTTTGAATTTACATATTTCCAATAAACTAATATGAAGTTAATTAAATGTTAATTTGTCAGCATTGGTTACATTTCCTCATTTTATACTATAGCTCCCCAACAGCCTCATTTGGCTGGATGTATACGTGATGGATGACTCAGGACCCACAGACTGTAATTCACTGCACATAGTTGTCTCTGACTAGGCTGTAGAAATTAGAGGAATTTGATGACACACCAGGCAATTTCTTCTCAAGAAATCACTGAAAGGACATTGTCAGTTTTGTCTTTAATGCAAGTTTCTGGAAGGAAAATTTTTGTTACTACATGAGCCAATCATTTCCCTGAAATTTAGCGACTCATCACGACTTGGTTAAAGCCACTGTTGTGGATGTGGCTGTCAAAGAAACATACACGCTGGGCCTGATGGACAATATGACATTGAGTTTTCATAACAGTTTATGTGATTGTTCTTTTTATTTATTGTTCTTAATATTCATTCCCCTTCTCTCTCACTCTGAGAATTTTTGTTCGCTGTCCCATTGGTATTTACTTTCACCAATGGGATGCTGGTAGGCATAATGTAAGCAGACTGGGAAAGAGTATGTGTGGTGAATCTTGTCCTCTTGCCCTGCTGCTGTAGCATGAGAAGGATGTGCCTCCATCTACCAGGGAAGGAGGATCATGGGAGGAGACGTGGACCAAATCTTCACCTTGGAGCCAAGCCAAGTCTGGATCAGCCAACCCCTGGTCCAACTCCACATGTGTGACAGTAACAACCACTGAGTTTGGGGGTGGTTTGTGAAGAAGCATTATTATAACAATCTCTAACAGATACAATGTATCACCAAAATTATAAATGAAAATCATTTTGGTTCAAGTAGTTTTTTTGCTTTCTTTTGAGATGAGGTCTCAGTATGTTGCTTGGTCTGGTCTTGAACTTCTGGGATCAAGCAGTCCTTCTGCCTCCGCCACTTCAGTAGATGGAATGTCAGGCATGCAGCACTGTGTCTGGCTGGATCAAGCACTTTTAGCTTTAACTATACAAATATAACTCTTTCTGTCGCATAAAAGCTTTCATTTAGAAGTACTAAGCCCCTTCTATACACATTAGTCTACTGTGGGTAAAGTTTTCTCTCTGCTCTGATTATGGCTTTTTGTACACAATGCTATCTTTATGAAAAGCTGAATGGCCATTAGAATGAGATATGAGGCATAAATACAGCATATTAGTATTCTTAAAATTTTAGCCTGCAATCAAGAAAATCCTTCAAATTAGATAACCTGTCATTTCACGCCGAGTGAAATTTAGTTTAAAAATGTTATTAATTTTTTTGAAGGAAAACATTTATTGGTACATTTTAGATATACATAATTATAACATTCATCATAGGGAATTTGTACTTGTACATGATACATCTTGCTTCTTTTTTTCCCATTCCCCTTCCCTTTAACTTCTCTTCCCCTCCTTATTTACAAAAGCTTTGTTTCCAAAAAATGTTATTAATCTTGATTATGAGTTCTGAGGACAGAAATATGATTTTAAAAGCTAGAGGTGAAGTTCTTTAGGGAGAAAACTGTGTTTGGAGAGCAAAGGAACTTTGTGGACCTTTCAGGTATGAAAAGGTGGGCCCCACATCACAGAGGGGAGAAAGAATGAGGTGCTTGAAAGAAGCTGGAATAAGAATTGGCAGTAAGGAATACTCAGGGAGTAGTAAGAAAGACTCTTGAGAATAATGATGTTTAAAAATCAACTTTAAATGATTTATCATGTTGTCATGATGCAACTTCCCTTGCTGTCACACCTGCGGTGGAAAGTTGATCTACCATTGTCTTATGTTGGTGCTGCCCACTGGAGACTGAATGAGGCCTCACATTTGGACCTCAGGGTGGAGAGTAGAGAGGGCCATGAGCACATGCGAGCTACCTGCAAGTGTAGAAGCTGAGGATGCCATGATGCTCAGCAACCTGGAGAAGGTACTCACCCCAATGCACTGCACATGATAGGTTGACAGCCAATTTTATTCAGAAACGAACAGGCAGAGACTCTGTCATCTTGAGGACTCAAGGATGAAAGGCCACTGGATGTGGTGGTACCATCTATAATCCCAGCTACTCACTTGGAGGAGACAGGAGGATCACAAGTTTGAGGCCAGTTTGGGCAACTTAGCAAGACCTTGTCTCAAAATAAAATATAAAAAGGGTTAGGGGGTGTAGCTCAGTGATAAAGCACCCCTGGGGTGGAAAAAACCACGAAAACCAATTGACTTTTTTTTTCCAGTACTGGGGATCAGATCCAGGGCCTTCACACTGAGCTACATCCCCAGCCCTTATATATATTTTTTGTTTGTTTCTTTGTTTGGTTGGGTGGTTTTTGTTTTTGTTTTTTGGGATACTGGGTCTTGGTAAGTTGCCCAGGCTAGGCCCAAATGTGTAATATTCCTGCCTCGGCCTTCCAGAGTCATGTTATAGGCATGTGCCACCACACCCTGCTAGACATTTCTTTATAGGAGGAAGTTCATACACATACAAATGCCACTGTCCATTTCCAAAGTGGTGATTTCCGCTCCACCAACATGTAAATGCATTGCCTTATGGGTGAGCAACATGATAGCTTAGAATGTTTGTGCATGATTCCTTCAGCTCTAGAATATTACTCAGTGACTTTCAACATCTGCTTGCCTGTTTGGGTGCCTAAGAATT